TTAAACAGGGGTTTGAGCCTCCCATCTTCACAGGCTGGTTCCTGGCCTGGGACCCTAACATTTGGAGTGTAAGAAAAGAGAGTGGTAGCTTAGAACTAACAGCTCATTGGGAAGGTGGGGTACTGATTCACGGCTCAATGAAACCTGGACCTCATTTCCCTACTCCCATCCTGCTCCCTGCATTTTACTTTTCTCCTCTTTTTCACCTGCCACTGCAGTAAGTCCAGGTAGATAATTCACAGCAGGTCTCAGCAATAAGCAGTGTGAAGTATAAACAGTTTATAAACTATATCCATACACATCATCTTTTTGATCTTCACTATAATCCTGATAGCCAGTGGAAGTATTTTTCCTGTTTTATTGATAAGGAAGCTAAGAAGATAAGTTATTTGTCTAAAGTCACAGTTAATCAAGAGAAAGCCAGGTTTCCTGACTCCTAATCAAGTAGCTCTTTTTTTTTTGAGATGGAGTTTCGCTCTTGTCACCCAGGCTGGAGTGCAAGGGCATGATCTCGGCTCACTGCAACCGCTGCCTCCCGGGTTCAAGCAATTCTCCTGCCTCAGCCTCCCAAGTAGCTGGGATTACAGGGATTACAGGCATGCACCACCACGCCTGGCTAATTTTCGTATTTTTAGTAGAGATGGGGTTTCACCATGTTAGGCTGGTCTCGAACCCCTGACCTCAGGTGATCCACCTGCCTCGGCTTCCCAAAGTGCTGGGACTACAAGGTGTGAGCCACTGCGCCTGGCTTCAACTGCTCTTTCTTGAATCTTATAGGGGGGACTAAGGGGTTACCATCAAAGAATGTACATTATGTTTAAGCAACTTTCAAGCCTGCATGGACCCAAAAGGGGGTATTTTCATTTTTACTTATCCTTGAAATGTCTTCTGAATCCCTGGCTTTTTTGTTTTTCTTAAAGACACAGACCAGGCTTAAGATGTCCCTTCCCTATAAGAAAGACCTCATCCTGTGTTTTCTATCTCTTCTTCTTAGGCAGGAAAATCATATCAACAATTAAAAGAAGAGCTGGGAGATGCTGCTGCTATCATGCGAATCACCACTGTAAGTCGGGTTTGCTCTTGGAGAAGCCAGCCATACAGGCAACCAGAGTCAAAAAGAACCTGGAAATACTACAGATGCTCATGGGCAAAACTCATGTCCTCCTTAGTATTACCATGGTTGTCTGTTTTGATGTAAAGATTTTTTGTAATCAATAGAAAAGTAGGTCTCAGAGCCAAGCTCCTTATTTTCCTGACTTCCAGGTTTTCAAATAGGCTTGCTGTTTAAAAACAACAAAAATGGAGTTTTTCATACCTGTAATCCCAGCACATTGGGAGGCCAAGGCGGGTGGATCACCTAAGGTCAGGAGTCTGAGATCAGCCTGACCAATATGGTGAAACCCTATCTCCACTAAAAATATGAAAACTGGCCGGAGGGTGGGGGGGAGTTCGCCTGTAGTCCCAGCTATTCAGGAGGCTGAGACAGGGGAATTGCTTGAACCCAGGAGGCCGAGGTTGCAGTAGGCTGAGATCACGCCACTGCACACTCCAGCCTGGGTGACAGAGCAAGACTCCATCTGAACAACAACGACGACAAAAAACCCAACAACAAAAATGAAAATTTGTTGTATTATTCAACTCTGCCATTTGGGAGAGATTAAAGTCATTGGCAGTATTTTTCAGAAATAATAAGCTTCTAACCCAAATGACATTTTTGTTCATTTCTGACAGTGAAGTCCAAAGAAATTTAGGCCATTTACAGCTATTTTAATGGTTAAAAGAAGTGGAGCCTCTGGCCAGGAATCTAGCAGTTCTTTAACCTCAGGAGTGCACGGCACCAGGTGGTCAAACCATCTGGCAATTCTGTCCTTTGTGCTCTACAAACTCAGATTCCAAAGCTAATGTTGATGTTTCAGCCTTTAAATGACTTTTTTAAGAGGCTGGAAGACTTTTTTAAAAGGCTGGAAATGCAGGGCTAAATAAAAGTATCAAGAGAAGGTATGTGATCCCAATATTCAAATGAGATTCAGGCACAGCACATATGCAAAACTGGCTATACAGGACTTGCCTTGGACTTAATGAATCAGCTTTCCCAAGAACAACCCCAAAATCTGAATATTTTCTATTCCCAGATGACTCTGACATACAACCAGGTTTGGGGACCATTGTTCTGAAAGATGATGACAGAGGGCAAAGTGGCATAAATCAAAATGTTAAATATTACACACATTCAGAACTGTAACCACACAGACACTGAGGAGTCTTTTCCCTGTGCCTACATTCTTATCTCACCTAGGACATGAATAATGCAACCCTCTCCCTGAATTCTAATGACGGTGAGCCAAAATATTACCCTATAGCAGTTCTGTTGAAAAACCAGAATCAGGAGCTGCCTGAGGATGTAAACCCCGCCAAAAAGGAGGTGAGTGGCTGAAGGAACTGTGTCTGTTTTAAGTAGAGCTTTCTGTGAGTAAAGCACTCATCTCAGTAAATGGCCTAGGACAGTTCTAGCACGTTGTAGGTGCCCAAAGGACACCTGAGCTACCCAGGTGCTCAAGCCGAAAAAGCAGAGTTCTTTCTTCTTTTCTCTCCACCTACATCAGTCTATCAGCTAGCTTCTGTCCACTCTCTCTCTGCTGCTAGTCTGGTCCAGCTATCATGGACTACTTACTACAGTCCAACTGGTTTCCACCTGTTCCTACAATCCGTTCCCCACGCAACAGCCAAAGGGATCTTTTAAAACATATGGCACTGTCCTGTTTAAAACACATGGCACTGTCCTGTTTAAAACACCTCAAATAGCTTCCCACTACACTTAAAAAAAGAAGCCGAAGGCCTATACAATCTGGCCTACCTCTCTGATTGCATTTCATATACCAACACCCTCTTCACTTACTACCCTTTGGCCAGGGCAGTGGCTGCTTTTCTGTTCCTTAAAAATGGGTATTCCAGCCTTTAAGCCTTCACACTTGCTAGTGCTCATGCCTGAAAAAAACATCCTTCTCCCAAACCATCACAGCACCAGCACCTTCTCATCACGTAGGTCTCAGCCCCAATGTCACCTCTCCAGGGAGGCATTTCCTGACCACCCTAATACTGCTTCCCATGCCTGCTCTAGACCCTGTATATTTGTTCACTGCCTAACTTCTCCTCTAGTAATATCCTTAATAGGAAGGACCTTTGTCTGTCTTGTTCACCATCATAGTCTCAGCTTCTCAGCACGTACAACAGTGCCTAGCAAATAGCAAGCACTCTTAAGTTTTGCTCGAATTAATTAACATATTTGAGTTAAAAAAATAAATTTCTAGCCAGGCATGGTGGCTCACACCTGTAATTCCAGCACTTTGGGAGGCCAAGGCTGGAGGATCACAAGGTCAGGATTTCAAGACCAGTCTGGCCAACATAGTGAAACCCTGTCTCTACTAAAAATACAGAAAATTAGCCAGGTGGGATGGTGTGTGCCTGTAATCCCACTTACTTGGGAGGCTGAGGCAGAAGAATTGCGTGAACCAGGGAGATGGACGTTGCAGTGAGCCGATATCGTGCCATTGCACTCCAGCCCAGGTGATGGTGTGAGACTCCAACTCAAAAAAAAAAAAAAAAAGAATAAATTTCTTTTCCCTTTGAAGAAATTGACTTGGGAAGGGACTCTGGATTTCCCACAATGTCTTATCTAGACAACTCTTAAGTATCTGGACTACAATTTTCTTGAAAGCAGAGACCATATACTAATAATCTTTACTTGTATACATATATGCAATACATCATTAAGTAAATGTTTAGGAGAATTTTGAGCTCAATAAGATCCACCCAATCATGCATTTGAAAATTTCTGGGTAAAAATGGTGGTTATGGGTGGAAAACCTTGGCTCAATTTAGTTCTTAATCCTGCCAAAATGTGACGTCTATAATTCATCCTTAATACATAACCCATTTATTGTCTTCTGGCAAGAAACTGGTCCTTGCTGGCACTGTGAGTGCAATGAATCCAGTAAGCTTCTGCAGCAGGCCGAAATGGTACTCTGTGACCTGAAGAACACCTCTCCAATGAATAATTTAAATCTCTAAGAGCCTTTCTGAGAAATTCATTCTACTTCCTTCTTCAAGGATCCACCTAGAACTCCCTCTTGCTCCAACTTTTCCCACCTCTGTTAGTAATGATGTCATGTCTTCCTTCTAACTAGAAACTTTGTTTTCTCTTTTAGAATTACCTCTCTGAACCCGACTTTGTGTCTGTCTTTGGCATCACAAGAGGGCAATTTGCTGCTCTGCCTGGCTGGAAACAGCTCCAAATGAAGAAAGAAAAGGGGCTTTTCTAAAGCAAGAAGGCCTATGCCTACTGTAAGGCCACAGAATAGAGCAGATAGTGCCAGTATCAACAAAGAATTTATCTACCTATTTCTGCCTGACATTCAGCTACTTAATTGAGATATAATAGAGTCTGCAAATCACAGCGTCTTCTCCATTTTTTCTCACTTTGCATTTCTTGGTTGTTATATACCTAAAATGTTAACCACACACTTTTTGGGTTCTGTGGCCTTCTAGCTAAAGCCTCAGCAGAAAGCACTAAAACTGCAGAAATCTGGAAAAATTAGGAGAACCAAAAAACAAGGCTTAAAATGTTTAATAATTTTTTTATGTTTAATATTATACCAGGACCTACCTTGGTTTTAAATTTTAAGATCATTATTATTATTATTATTATTTTTTTTTGAGATGGAGTTTCACTCTTGTTACCCAGGCTGGAGTGCAATGGCGCGATCTCGGCTCACCACAACCCCCACCTCCCGGGTTCAAGCAGTTCTCCTGTCTCAGCCTCCCGAGTAGCTGGGATTACAGGCGTGCACCACCATGCCCAGCTAATTTTTGTATCTTTAGTAGAGACGGGGTTTCACCATGTTGACCAGGATGGTCTCGATCTCTTGACCTCGTGATCCACCCGCCTCGGCCTCCCAAAATGCTGGGATTACAGGCTTGAGCCACTGCGCCCGGCCAAGATCATTATTTTTAAAATCTATTTAACCTGCAAATCATTGAAATCATATATACACTCCAAGGTTGAAATCCAAATGGCCAGATCTGTTATGTGTCAATGTATTTTTAGCTTTTCAAATGAAGATACCTATAATGAACAAATGAAGTTATTTTCAGTATTTAGGGTTTGTTCATTATGGTAATTTTATGTTATACTGGAAGAAATGTTTCAGTACTGGGGAAGTAAAAAGGCAATGTTAAGTGAGGTTTCTGGATAACTGGACTACTCTAATTTCTGTTTCTGGCACAAGAATGTCAAAATCTGCCTTATAGCTGGCCAGGAAACCTCAGTACCAACCCACCCAACCACACCACATCATCCAAAAGATAAACAGGGGCATATGTTATTAATTTCATTAAATGACGGCAGAACCAGTGTGTCTACCACTGCAGAGAGCCTTCAAAGCATGCTACAAACATCCACAAAGAAAAGAACCCAAATTTTCCAGACAACTCTAGGCTTGAATAAACAATCCCAAAGAAATCCATGTGGCAGAAGTAATATAACTAGGGAGGTTCCAAGGCAGAAGCATGGTCCAGTGTTGCAAAGTGAAAGCAGAACAAAAAGAGTTCTATGTCATAAATGGGGTAAGACAGAACACGCAAGTTAGAAATTTCAGAAATACCATAATAAATCTATGTTGAAGGGAGCAGAATTGTTGATGGCCGTTCTCCGAGACACTGTCAATCATGTCAGTAAGGCCTATCAATAAGATTATTTTCAAAAGCTGTCACAAGTAAGACATAGAAAAGCTAAACCCAGTATTACGTAAACAAGGAAAAAATTATTTTTATTATATAACTAATAATTTTACCCATAAAGTCTATAATCTCATAATTCAAATGAAAAATAAATTCTGGGTCTGAAGAGGCTTGGGAAAGAATCCTTTTTGTAATGATGTCCAGAGCTAAAAACAAATACTCCTCCTGGGCCAAAAGTCTCTGGAACCTACTCAGTTTCTGCTGCCTCTTCACCTTCTCCACATTCAAACCGCACAAAGTCTACTACTGACACTCCCTGAGGCTGCACATACTGCCCCAAGGTAATGGAGGGATCCAGCAAGTACGGCTGGGACAGCATCTTGGTCTCTGCCTCTCCCCCAGGCTCATCATCCAGGGAGCCAACAGAGAGAGGCGCCATGCCCACCACATGCTGCCCGAGGCGGCGGCCAAGGTCTTCAAGGTTTGCGTTCTGTTCAGATGTCTCGCAGATGACCAGGGCCCCATACTTCCCCAGCACCACGTTGTGAAGGGAGGGACTCTGCATTACTCCGTGGACATAAGAGCCAACGTAGAACCCAGATGGCACCTTCACCCACGCAGCTCGTTTAAGAGTCATGTTTTCTCCCAGTCTTCCTATTAAAAAAAGGCAAAAAACAAAAAACTAACACACCAACAAATTATGATGTTTGTGATTGTAACAAAATATGCACAGAAGAGGCCCAGTTCGGAAGACAGTCCCTTTGCATTTACACAGGATATGCAGTAAGATGGAGAGACACCATTTTCAGTTTTTTTTAGGAAGAGGAAAAGGGATATGGGGGGGGCGGTGAGAGTGGGGTAAGTGAAGAATATCTTTATGAAGCACCAACTAAATAATACATGCAAAAGTGTTAACTATAGTATCTGGCACATAGTGAGCACTCAAAAGCTAGCTATTATTACAATAAGCTTAGGTTTAGAGAACTTAGGTAACCCAGCCAACAACACAAGGCAGAGCTAGCATTAAAACTCAGATCTGACTCCAAAGCAATTAAGTGCTTTTTCCCACCATCCTGAATACTCCATAACTGACACAGACAACTAGGGATCATCCCTGTATCAGGAAAAAGTCAAAGCCCCATGTCATCTGATAGTTTCAATTTCCTCTCATCAAAAATAAAAAGATACCATTTTCAGAGTTATTTATGAGAACATTAAACAGATTGTAATTGTAATTTTTCCCCTTTCTCTCAGGATGCTATTCCCTTCTAACAGCCAAGTCCAAATAAGCCAAAAGGTAGAAAGGGGCAGGAGAATAAACAAAAGGGTCTGTATAAATATGCCTACGTTAGCCATAGTAATATCTGAAAGTCATGAAAAAGAATCCAGAAACCAAAACGAATTTTGAAATAGCTTGAAGCATCTACCCAATAGTTAATTCCCAGAAACTGACAAGGCTGAAAACACCCAGCTCTTCCAGAATTTCCTAATAAGCCCCATACATAGCTGTCTGCCTGGTTTCTCAACCCATGACTCATTGAAACATCATAGATAATACAAAATGACCTGATAAAAACAGTATTGATGCCTTGACTGGAATCTTCAGATGAACAGTAAATTCCCAGCAAGCTCCAACCACCCTCCCTCCATCAAGGATACTTAGGAAGAAAGCAAGATCCCCACTAGTCCCACCACAATGATCCACATGTGGTTCCTACAGCCAGCAGGCTTTAAAAGAATGTATCCTTACAAACTCACAATCAGATTTTTTTCAAAAGAAAGATAAAAATCCTAAATACGATGTCCCTCAGTTGTCCTGCAACCCTTTATAAGGAAGAGGAAATCATCTTTAATGTACTATGTTCCCTATAGTATATACAAAGGTACTCAGCTGGAAGTCAAAAGGCCATCACTGCCTAAAGACATGCTTTGTTTTGTTGGCACAGTTGATTAAAATAATTTTAATTAGCTGCCAACAGCCAAAACGCATGAGATTTTGGATACAAATCTAAATACTTTTAAGGAATTCAGAAATTCTGATGACAACAGGACTCCATTTCCCTATATGTTAACAACTGGTTAGAGTTTGGTAATGGGACTTCCTCCAGCAGGGCATAAGCTCTTCAAGACGCCTAATGTTCCCTGACATCTAACAAACCACTTCTAACATTCATATCGTCTGACCCTTGTAGGCACACAATTCTTGACCTAGATTTGGAGGAACAAGATTTCCAGTTTCCAGAACCTTTACAAATACTCACCAATTGCTAAAGCCAAGTGATCCTTGAGTGAGCCTTCTCTGTCAGGTCCCGCCGGAAGTCTAGAAAGCTCAGAGGAATTCAAGAAACCCTAAGTGCACAAAGAAAACAAACATGAACTGATTCTGTACTATTCAAATTATCAAGAGAACAGGCAAAAATCGTCTATTTTTAAGAAAATTATTTCAGACAACTAAGTGTAGACAATATTTTCATTAAGCCAAGGATGGTAAAAATTAGTAACAGTTCTTCTTTTTTTTTTTGAGATGGAGTTTCACTCTCGTTACCCAGGCTGGAGTGCAATGGCGCGATCTCAGCTCACTGCAACCTCCGCCTCCTGGGTTCAGGCAATTCTCCTGCCTCAACCTCCTGAGTAGCTGGGATTACAGGCACGCACCACCATGCCCAGCTAATGTTTTGCATTTTTAGTAGAGACAGGGTTTCACCATGTTGACCAGGATGGTCTCGATCTCTTGACCTCGTGATCCACCCACCTCGGCCTCCGAAAGTGCTGGGATTACAGGCTTGAGCCGCCGCGCCCGGCCAACAGTTCTATCTTTATAAATATGTTATCCTATCGCTGGACCACCCCCAATTACATTCCACTTTTATCCTCCAGCCTAACTTCTTAGAATGTAATTTCCTAGAAATCAAGAACAATTATTTTTTCTTTTAAATATAGAGATGGGGTCTCCCTATGTTGCTCAGGCTGGTCTCAAACTCCTGGCTGAAGAGATCCTCCTCCTGCCTCAGCCTCCCAAAGTGCTGGGATTACAGGCATGAGCCACTGCACCTGGTCAAGAACAATATTTTCCTTTTTTTGAGATGGAGTCTCACTCTGTCACCCAGGCTAGAGTGCAGTGGCATGATCTCAGCTTACTGCAACCTCTGCCTCCTGAGTTCAAGCGATCCTCCTGCCTCAGCCTCCAGAGTAGATGGGAATACAGGCATGCACCACCATGCCTGGCTAATTTTTCTATCTTTTTTAGTGGAGACAGGGTTTCACCATGTCAGCCAGGCTGATCTTCAACCCCTGACCTCAAGTGATCCACTTGCTTCAACCTCCCAAAGTGCTAGGTTTACAGGCATGAGCCACTGCATATAGCCAAGAACAATATTTTCATACAATCATAAAACGTTAGAGCTAGACTTGCAGATTGTTGATGGGAATGCAAAATGGTACAAATCCAATAGTGAGAAATTGAATAATATCTAATAAAACTACCTATGATTTATCCTTTGACCCTGCAATCCTATTTCTAGGACTTTACCTTGATGATATACTTGCAATAATATTACACAAGATTATTCACTGAACAATTATTTCCAATCATAAAATTTTAGAAATGGCCTAAATGCCCAAACACAGGAGATTGGTTGAATAAACTATAGCACATCCACACAGCAGAATACTATGCCGTTGGAAAAAATAAAAAGAATGACCTTCATGAATTGTTATATTTCCAGGATACATTATTAAGTGAAAAAAGCAAATTATAAGTGTACATAGTATACTATTTGTGCAAGAAAGAAGTATTTGTATAAATATGCTTATTTTTACAAAAAGACATACTGAAAGGATAACCATAATCCAATGACACTGGTTATCTAAAGGGGTGGATGGGAACAGTAAGACTTCTCTGAGTATCCTTTTTTTTTTTGACAGTTTTAACTTTTTTTTTTTTTTTTTTTTTTTTAGATGGAGTCTCACTTTGTCACCCATACTGGAGTGCAGTGGTGCAATCTCGGCTCACTGCAACCTCTGCCTCCCGGGTTGAAGCGATTCTCCTGCCTCAGCCTCCCAAGTAGCTGGGACTACAGGCGCAAGCAAACACATTGGCTAATTTTTTGTATTTTTTTAGTAGAGACGGGGTTTCACCGTGTTAGCCAGGATGGTCTCGATCTCCTGACCTCATAATCCGCCCACCTCGGCCTCCCAAAGTGCTAGAATTACAGGCAAGAGTCACTGTGCTTTTGAGAACTTTGTTAATGGATTTTATGTATTAAAAAATAAATTAAATCTGGGTGGCTGGGCACGGTGGCTCACACCTGTAATGAGCACTTTGGGAAGCCAAAGCAGGTGGATCACCCTAAGGCCAGGAGTTCAAGACCAGCCTGGCCAACATGGTGAAACCTCATCTCTATTAATATAATGAAGATTTTAAAAATAAACAAACAAACAAAAAACCCAAAGTGCTAGGATTACAGGCATGAGCCACCACACCCAACCTCAAAAAAAAAAAAAAAAAAAAACCCACATATTTAAAAAATAAAGTCAACACATATTTGGTGTGAAAATAAATACTGACTACAAAGAAATATAAAACTATGTTTCAAATGAGTAACATAACCTCACAGGAGGAAAACAAAATCCAAATAACTCAATAGAGTCATTTGACCACCTAACTTCAATGTAAAGACAAAAAGAACTACCAATAAATCTTGAACTCCTTAGTATTTGTGTTATTTGCAGTGATCAGGTGTAGCAATTTGGAAACAATTTTGTAGCTATATTGTCACACTGAGTAAATAGGTAAAATAGTAAACATATTGAAGCTGCTATGAAAAACGAAAAATTGAACCACATTCACCCACGCCTGCACTTTGTCACTGAAAAAACAAATGACTTCTCAGGAGAAACAAGCACACTTAATATTCACATCTTGGTTTCTAAAAGCTATTCCCCAGCTAAAAAGGACCAGGACTCCTTGAAGAAGTGGCCCATTCCACAGTTTCCCCAACTGTGGAAAGTATGACATAAACCCCAGAAATAAGAATAAACAAAAAAAGCCAAAATGTAAGAAAATACTCAGAAAATGATAAGGACATATCAAAGAACATTAGAGTCAGCTTGCATTAGTCAAATCTGCAGATAATTTGAGCATCAAAACGAATAATGAATTATAGCTTATTGTATAAAATAAACCCATGAGTCAATGTTAGTGCTGAATAAATCACTAAATAAAAAGGAGAAGGGGCTGGGCACGGTGGCTCACCCCTGTAATCCCAGCACTTTGGGAGGCCAAGGCAGGTGGATCACGAGGTCAGGAGTTTGAGACCAGCCTGGCCAATATGGTGAAACCCCATCTCTACTAAAAATATAAAAAACTGGCTGGGCACGGTGGCTCACACTTGTAATCCCAGCACTTTGGGAGGCCGAGGCGGGTGGATTACCCAAGGTCGGGAGTTCAAGACCAGCCTGACCAACATGAAGAAAACCCATCTCAACTAAAAATACAAATTAGCTGGGCGTGATGGTGCATGCCTGTAATCCCAGCTACTTGAGAGGCTGAAGAAGGAGAATCGCTTGAACCTGGGAGGGGGAAGTTGCAGTGAGTCAAGATCGCGCCATTGCACTCCAGCCTGGGCAACAAGAGTAAAACTCCTAAAAAAAAAAAAAAAAAAAATCAGCTGGGTGTGGTGGCGCACCTGTAGTACCAGCTACTAGGGAGGCTAAGGCAGGAGAATTGCTTGAACCTAGGAGGCGGAGGTTGCAGTGAGCTCAGATTGCGCCACTGCACTCCAGCCTGGGTGACAGAGTGAGACTCCGTCTCAAAAAATAAAGTCCAGACGCAGAGGCTCACACTTGTAATCCCACCACTTTGGGAGGTCGAGGTGGGCAGATCACAAGGTCAGGAGTTCAGGACCAGCCTGGCCAACATGGTGAAACCCTGTCTCTATTAAAAACACAAAAATTAACTGGGTGTGGTAGTGGGCACCTGTAGTCTCAGCTACTTGGGAGACTGAGGCAGGAAAATCACTTGAACCCAGGAGGTGGAGTTTGTAGTGAGCTGAGATCATGCCACTGCACTCCAGCCTAGGCGACAGAGTGAGACTCTGCCTCAAAAATAAATAAATAAATAAGGGCAGGTACAGTGGCTCACACCTATAATCCCAGCACTTTGGGAGGCCAATGTGGGTGGATTACCTGAGGTCAGGAGTTCCAGACCAGCCTGACCAACATGGAGAAACTCTCTACTAAAAATACAAAATTAGCCGGGCGTGGTGGGACATGTCTGTAATCCCAGCTACTTGGGAGGCTGAGGCAAGAGAATCATTTGAACCCAGGAGGCAGAGGTAGCAGTGAGCCAAGATTGTGTCATTGCACTCCAGCCTGGGCAACAAGAGTGAAACTCTGTCTCAAAAAAAATAAAAAATAAAAAAAAACCTTATCATTGTTTTCAATATGACTACGTAATATCAATAACAATTAACATTTACCAAGACATCTCAAGAGAAGGATAAAGAAGAAGATAAAAAAGTTGGTAATAAACTCAAAAACATTACTGTGAGTGGTTGGTTCATTTTTGCCTTGGCAATAAGCCTAAGTCAAAGGCAGAATGATGTAATTCCTTCCTTGATGCCTCTATGGATAAGAATATGCTTATTTTCCTAAATTGTGCCTTTTCCAATCTCTTTATTTAGAAATTCTTTCCTAAGACCATTCCAGGCTGGGCATGGTGGCTCACGCCTATAATCCCAGCACTTTGGGAGACCGACGCAGGTGGATCACCTGAGGTCGGGAGTTCGAGACCAGCATGACCAACATGGAGAAACCCCATCTCTACTAAAAACAAAAAAATTAGCCAGGCGTGGTGGTGCCTGCCTGTAATCCCAGCTGCTTAGGAGGCTGAGGCAGGAGAATCGCTTGAACCTGAGAGGCGGAGGTTGTGGTGAGCCAAGATCGCGCCATTGCNCCTGCCTGTAATCCCAGCTGCTTAGGAGGCTGAGGCAGGAGAATCGCTTGAACCTGAGAGGCGGAGGTTGTGGTGAGCCAAGATCGCGCCATTGCACTCCAGCCTAGGCAACAAGAGTGAAGCTCTGTCTCAAAAAAAAAAAAAAAAAAATTTAGCCTGGCACTGCGACAGGCACCTATAATCCCAGCTACTCAGGAGGCTGAGGCAGGAGAATCGCTTGAACCCGGCACCAGAGGTTGCAGTGAGCTGAAACTGCGCCACTGTACTTTAGCCTGGGCGACAGATTGAGACCTTATCTCAAAAAGACAAAAAAAAGACCATTCCAAATTTATAAATACAAAGCCTCAGATGGCTTCACTTGATGTAGCTAACTCCATTCATTCCACTGGCATTCATTCATTCATTCATCTGAAAAAGATTTATTGAGCTCCAACTAAGTAGTGGGCCCAATTCTTTTTCACCAAGTAGTGAAAAGACAAATTCCCTGCTTCTTAAAGGTTACATTCTATCGGGGAAGGCAGGTAACATATAGGTAAATTAAAATGTAATATATAAGCACCATAACAAAAAATTTTAAACGAAGCCCGATAAGGGGATATAGCAACAGGGAAAAGGGTAATCCTGTGCAAAGAGATAGCATTTAAGCAGCGATGAGAAGGGAATGAGACATGAGAATGTCTAAAAAAGGAACAGCAAAGACCCAAAGAGGACAGCAAATTTAGCATACTGGAGACAAACCCCAAACTCACTTTACTGTATGTAGACAGTTGATCCTTTAAGTTCTGACAATGCATCATGGTTCCAAGGGCTACTTGCTGGACCAACTGTTGAAATTTTAAATTTCTAGAAACAAAATCCGTCTCACAGTTTACCTGCAGGAACAAATTGATGTTGCTGTATAAGCTGTTTAATGATAGTTTCCAAAAGTGCTGTAAGGCTGGAGAGTAAATCAAGATACTGAGAGAACAAGCTGCAAACTGAACAGAAAAAAATGACTCCAAAATTTAAAGCTACAGTTCCTCTCCTAGTCTGAAACAGAATGAGGTGATTCATGCTGGGCCAGTGAGTTGGCAATAGCCTGTATATTCAGAGGATGGTTCAATAATGTCCTGAAGGACTCACCACAAGTTCACCACTCATCTATGGCTGCACACCATCATCACCTCATTCTCCAGCCCCTCCAGCTCCAAACCACTTGCACTACTACCTTGTTTATCCCCATCTCTCACTCTAAACTAATCCACATCTGATTCTTCATCAATTATGGCCCCAAAACCTCCTCTAAAATAGCTGCTCTCTATTCCGCAACAATTAATATAATTAACTTTGTAATCTAACTGTTCCAGGAAACAATCAGTGACACAGTGTAAGCCTGCACCAGACTCACATTCAGGAGTAGTAGTCTAGACTGCAGGCCATTTCTCATCAACGCACCAGTACATTTCTATACCAAAATGAATTCGTAACTAATACCAGAGGTTTCATGAGTTTAACTTCAACTACCCTTTATGGTTCTCAAACAGATTTCTTTTTCAAGAATATAAAGGGCCTACTACAGGCTTTACACCCAAGGGACATTGTTCTTGGTATCTGGAATTTCCAACAACTCACTTCTACTAATACAGTCGTGTTTCCTTCCTGCAACAGTCCAATCAGGCCTTCTTTGGTCTTCCTCCCTTGGAGCTTGGCAGCTTTGCTCCAGCCCTCCTTCTGGGCCTGCTTGTGGAGCCAGGTCTCTGCCTATATATTGAGAAGAAAAAGAGCAGACAACAAAGTCACAGAATTTAGAACTACATATAGTTCTAAGATATGCTCAGGTTTCCTGATTGTTTCCCCTAAATTCTCTAATAGAAACTAAAGTAATCTGTCATTTATTGGCAGTCTACCACTAAATGCCAAATATCCGGTATTATTATAACTGGTGCCTTGGATCAATTTAATCTTCACAACAACACTATGAGGCACACAGTTGTATTTTCTTTATACAGTTATGCACCGCATAACAATATTTCCGGCAATGACGGACTGCACATATGATGATGGTCCCATAAGATTATAATGGAGCTGAAAAATTCCTATTGTCTAGTGACACTGTGGCCCTCCTAACATTGTAGGGCAATGTATTACCTACATGTTTGTGGCAATGCTGGTGTAAAGAAAACTTCTGTGCTGCCAGTCCTATTAAAGTATAGCATGCACAATCACATACAGTGCATGATACATGAAACAATAATTAACAACTATGTTACTGTCCTATGTATTTACTATACCATATACTTTACTGTTATTTTCTTTTTTCTTTTTTTTGTTTTTTTGAGATGGAGTTTCGCTCCTGTTACCCAGGCTGGATTGCAACGGCGCAATCTCGGCTCACCACAACCTCCGCCTCCTGGGTTCAGGCAATTCTCCTGCCTCAGCCTCCCAAGTAGCTGGGATTACAGGCATGCGCCACCATGCCCAGCTAATTTTTTGTATTTTTAGTAGAGACGGGGTTTCACCATGTTGACCATGATGGTCTCGATCTTTTGACCTCGTGATCCACCCGCCTCGGCCTCCCAAAGTGCTGGGATTACGGGCGTGAGCCACCGCGCCTGGCCCTTTATTGTTATTTTCGAGTATACTCCAACTTACAGAAAAAAAAAATTTAGGCCAGGCACAGTGGCTCACGCCTGTAATCCTGGCACTTTGAGAGGCTGAGTCAGGTGTATCACTTGAGGCCAGGAGTTCAAATCCAGCCTGGCCAACATGGTGAAACCCTGTCTCTACTACAAATACAAAAATTACCCAGGCGTAGTGACTCCTGCCTGTAATCCCAGCTGCTTAGGAGGCTGAGGCAGGAGAATC